ATTGAAGTTGGTTTGAAGCTAGCACAGCGTTTCTGTTTCGGCATAAAATTGCCGTATCATCGGCAAACGTTGTGGTGATAACTGAACTACTTATCGGGATATCAGATGTGTAAAGTACATACAATACAGGGCCAAGAACACTTCCTTGTGGAACGCCAGCTTCTATTGGGAAATTATTAGAAGTATAAGATTTGCATTTCACTTTAAAGCTTTTACATTTAACTTTAAAGCTTCTGTTATGCAGATACGATTCTAAAACTGAGTGAACATTTGAAGGTAATGACCAGCTTATCTTATATAGGAGGCCATTATGTCATACTTTGCCAAAGGCTTGTTTAACATCAAGAAATACCGCGAAACAATATTCTCTGAGCTCAAATGCATGTCGTGTTTCGTTCGTTACACGAATCACTTGCTCAATAGTTAAATGTTTTTCCCTAAAACCAAACTGGTGGGAGGGTATTAGGTTTTGACCGTCAAGGAATTGTTTCATCTTTAAAAGCAGTGCTCTTTCAAAGAGTTTAGAAAGGCATGGCAGTAACTTATTGGCCTCTATGAAGAGGCAAGCGTGGAATCTATACCTGATTTATGAATCATAATAATCATGGACTTTTTCCACTTTGTTAGGTAAAAGCCAAATTTAATTATGGCATTAAAAAGCCTTGTGATAAAATTTATGGCCAAAAGGGTTAAGTTTTTTATGATGATGGGTGAGATATTATCATATCCCGGTGCCTTTTTGCAATCTAACTTGTTTGTGATTATTTGAACAAGATCATTGGCCGCAATATTCATGTCAATTGATGGTGCATGTAGGTCCTGAGTGGGAAAGTCATAATGTCCTGTTGCAGGATTTGCCTCTTTTAGGTAACCAGCAAAAACGTTAGATTTTTCTTCATCACTTCGCACCCAGTTTCCGAGAGAGTTTCTTATTGGAGAACCTTTGCTAGCATTCCACAAATATGAATGGTTTTTGCCATTTGGACATAAGTTTTGAATATGATTATATTGCCTGATTTTGGTTTCTTTACTTAATGCAGATCTAAGTCTCCTTTGGGCTTCCTTAAATAAGTTTTTCGCTAAAGGGGGCCTGGATTTTTGCCATTCACGCCTACGTTTTTGAGAAACTAAGTTTTCTATGTCACTACTTGTAAGTACTTTATTGGATCTGTGAATTTTATTGTCTTTAGGGGTGGAGTTTTCTGCTGCTGAAATCAGAATTGAGTTTAAGACTGAGGTTGCGTCCTCAATGTGAGATTTACACTTTATCTTGTAATTTGTGTGTATGTGAGAACTAATGTTCTTTTTATTAGTTGTAAGGCTATTGGAACAGTCACTAAACAGAGGAGCATCAAGTAAACAAAACGTAACTGGAGTATGGTCAGAAGATAAATCGCAGCTTGTGTATGTTGAGATAATATTTTTGCACATGCCTTTGGTTACAGCGAAGTCTATTAGGTATTTTATTGTTATCGGCAGGCCAATATGTTCGCTGCCCATGAGAGATTACGTCTAGTACATTTTTTCTATTTAGAATGGAATTGTAAAGCTGTTTATCTTTTGGATTACAAAACCGTGAACCCTAATACGTGTGCTTGGCGTTGTAGTCTCCTGCTGCAAGAAATCTGTCACCTAGAGATAAGAAATAATCCGAAAATTGGGTCTCAGTAATGTTGAAGCGAGGGGGGCAATAAACTGCCGATAAAGTTAAGTTTTTCCCTTTGTGCTCATTTTTTAGACAAAAACATTTGCATTAATTGGCTTTGCATTTTAACTATTTCGTTAAGAGTAATTTGCACGATTGACATGAACTGCGTTAAGCTCTGGGTGAGAGTGGAGATCATCATTTCCAAACTATTTCCAAACTATGAACTGGAGGGGCTTGATGCTTGTCAGATTTAACGACATTAGCATATGAAACACCTGGTGTAACAGGCTTAGAAGCTAAAGGTTGGGGTACTTTAACTAATTTGATGGGGTTGCTTCTTGTAGGATTACCCAACGCTTCTTTCTGCAGAGCTAACCTGTGCTTTAGTTCTTTATAAATAGGACAGCCTCTGTAGTTTGCGGTATGATTTCCACTGCAGTTGCTACATTTTTTGAAGTTGGTATCCTTTAATGCCTTTTTATTTCATTCTGAACTACGGTGAAGCTCGCCACATGCTACGCACACTATACGAAGAGTGCAATATGACTTAGTATGGCCATACTCTTGGCAGTTTGTGCATTGCACTGGACTATTTCGCTTGTGGGGCTCCTTAACGCTAATTTTGCGGTGGAGTAGATA